GGAGGAGGAGGAGTACGATGAAGATTATGGACCTCCACCAACTCAAACATCTCAAGCATCTCAGCTGCCGAAGAAGACGAATCCGAAGAAGAAGGATTTGCTTAGTCCGGACCCTTTCCAGAGACCGGTTCCTCGACGGCCCAAGAAGAATACCGAAGAGACTCGTTCAAAGAGTAACGAGGACCGTACCTCCAAGAGGGGAAGGAGCAACTGATTATGCTCTTCGATACTTGGCTCTTTTAGTTTGGTTGAACTTGTCTAGTGGTTATGAAACTACGTGAAACTATGTGTTTGCTATTTGTGGATCTATGTGTTTGCTACTACGTGGAACTCCGTTGAAGTTCATTTGAAATGTTATATGCACAAGTTATCTAATGTTGATCTATGTGATGCCCAAGTTTAATTGTTTAAAATTTGTGATTGCTGTCATATTTGTAGAACTTGCTGTATATTGCTGTCATATTGCATTCAAAAACAAACAACCAAATGAACTAGAAACAACAAAACACAGGACCCTACCGCCAAGGACCATGGCAGTAGGTTCACACAGCCTACCGCCAGCCCCCTTGGCGGTAGGGCGCACCTACCGCCAGGGCCCTTCCATTCTTTGTTACAGAAACATTACACTGGAAAACACAGGACCCTACCGCCATGGGCTCTGGCGGTAGGGTCGCACAGCCTACCGCCAGGACCCATGGCGGTAGGGTGCACCTACCGCCAGGTCCACTGCACATTTCGTTACAGAAGGTTTGTACGGCAAAACCCTGCTACACCCTACCGCCAGGTGCTCTGGCGGTAGGTTTAGACAGCCTACCGCCAGGCCTCCTGGCGGTAGGTACTTATCCACGTCAGTGCAGTCAAACGGCCGCCGTCCCCCTCCGTCGCACCCTACCGCCATGGGACGTGGCGGTAGGCTGTCTAACCCTACCGCCAGAGGCCCTGGCGGTAGCAAAAGGGTCAAATCCTGAAATTTTTTGCAACCGAGGTCAGATCTTGAATTTTTTACAAAAAGGGTCAAAACACGAAATTCGGTCACATGTCAACAGAAATCAATTACATCGTTGGATTCGTATTTGAAATTTTCAATGATATAATTTTTGGTAACATGCATAAACATAATCTATAGTTAAAATTTGACACAATACATAATGTAGACCAATAAACCATGACGGAGGTAGTAGTCAGGTGTAGCCTAATGTGCTATTAATAATCCCAAAAAAGAGAAGAACACCAAACCACGTCCCACGACCCAACATGACCCGGGACGGTCTCAAAAAGCAATCCATCGACATGACCCAGGACCCAACATGATCGATATCGTGTCTGAAAATCAGGCCATATATCCTTCCCGATTAAAAACCCAGGAATGTCAAGAACCAAGGATCCACAAAAACAATGTTAGAAACGGATGACATACATGCTATTCCGTGATCCAAATGTACGGGCGGGCTTCTCCCGATTGGATTCAGGTTCGATCAGGATGGCTCATGCCCCATATCGCCGCCGTTTGCGTTTGACGCGGCTCTTGTCCTTGTAGTACTCTTGGCCGTTGAGCAGAAGCGGAACAGTGTAGTGCCCACCGTTCTCCTCCACGCCGGTGACGCTAGTATCGTCATGGTAGAGAGCACCATCGTCAGCTTGCGCGTCAGGGCCTGACTTCAATGGCGGTGGTGACACCCGTTGATGTTCGGCGGCGGCGGCAGCGGCTGCGACGGCCAGCACCTTGTCAGGGCCCTGCTGAGCAAACGCCTGGAGAAGAAGAAGAAGGAGAAGAACCAACACCTTCAGTTAACGGATCCCCAAATCACTAAATCAGGGACGAATTCGGCCCCAAGTTCCCCCAACGCACGCACGCAACGCGTCGATCCTTACGCACCTCCTGGTCGGCCGGCTGTCGCTTCCTCTGCTCCCCGGCGGCGACGGTCAATCCGATGCGGGTGAGCACCGTGCTCAAGGACGGAGGCGAGGTGATCTGGTACTCGCTCATGACCCAGCCGCTGGGGTCCTTGTTCCCCGCGCGCTTGTAGGTGAGGTCGTACCTCCTGTAGCTGATGTCCACCTCGCCGGCGCCATCGCAGAACAGGGTGACGGTCCCGACCCTGCCATTCTGCCCTTGCCACATGCCGCCGCCCTTGACGACGCGCTTGACGCGGCCCCCGTTCCTGGGAGGCCCGAAGAAGAAGGCCTGGTCGCTGGTCCCGTGGTTGTGCTTCTCCATGAGGTCCCACGGCGGGAGGCTCATGGGGTCGTCGTCGATGACGGCGCGCCCGTGGCCGTGGGGCTTGTCGAGGCCGACCGCGCGGGGGAGGAGGTAGGAGGCGACGATGTCGGCGTCGGTGGGGTCGAACTTGAACGCCGCCGCCATGTCGCGGCCGAAGCCGAACCGCGAGGCTTCCATGCCCTCCGCAGTCCGCACTGCTCTGCTCCGCAAACGCAAACGAATGGTCCCTTGGTTCCCGTGCCCGTGCCGGTGTGATTTGGCAAAGGGGCACAGCTAATATGAGCCGATCGAATCGCCGACTCGAACACTACTTGAGAGCCCAGATTACTTGGGGGCCAAGAAGTCGCTCGTTTAAGCTTTGCAATGCGATTCCAACTCTTCAGGCTAGTCTGACTTCTTTTCGCTATATATCAATCAGGATACCACTCTTGACTAATTTATGCTCTATAGTAAGTACTGTAGGTGACTGCAGCCCTCCCCGCCCCTAACCCTAACCGCGCCAGCCGCCCCTCCACGCTCCTCCCCCGCTTCGCCGCCGCCGGAGGGGACACAGGCGAAGCCCGCGTGGTCCCCAGGGAAGGTGGCGGCGGGGCGTACTTGCCGTTCTCGCGCGCGCGGCGGTGTTCTGCCGGGGGCTGGCGCCTGCTGCCCGTGACTGCAGATCAGGATACCACTCTTGACTAATTTATGCTCTATAATTGCTTCGTGGCCGTTTACCATGTTGAAGGGATTAGATTCACTCATGTGAGCCATAGGATGCAGAGTTGAAAATTTTGTTCGGGAATCAACACCAAATCTGCTGAACAATGACCCTCTGACCAAGATCAGCGACGCTTGCAGTCTACTAGTACTAGAATACAGTGGTAATTCAAAATTTGGAAATAGTTCTTGCTGCAGAAGGCTGCTTCATGCTCTCAAGTACATAATCCGTGACGAAAATGTTGTTCCAAGAGAAAGGATGTTACAGACATGCGCATTATTTAGGAGGCAGGCAAGCTGTACACCGCACTTCATCAGTACGCTGACCGAGGCCGATGCGCTGCCATGTGAGCACATTCCAACCTACAGTTCATCTTTAGGTGCGTCTAAGCAGTCCTCATCCCAGACGAAGGGGAACTTCAACTTCGCTGCCGTGTGAGGCATACTCCAATCTTCATACAGAAATCTACAACACGCAACATTTCCAATATCAAAAAACACTAGAGTAGTATTTGACATCCATAGATGCATCGTTCATATCTAATTAACATGTAAAATGTGTGACAACTGGACACAACATCACAGGAAGATTCGTGGAGGGCCTGTCGAGCGATCTGTGACTGTGTTTCATGTTCATTTCAAGTTACGGGTATTTACTTTGTGATATTTGGAAATTAAGTCATCGATGTTTTGTTCTACTTATGAGGAGATATGAAAAGGTTCTTGGTACTTAGATTGTGTTCGAACTCCAAATGTTGGATTTTAAAGGAAGAAAATTGTCAAAATAAAACACTATGCCATTTTCCCACCTTTGAAACTGTTTTTTTTCTCAGTACTGAACAAGCAGCGGTTTGGGGGATAAAATTGATTTTGACAACATGTGTGTATAGCACCCAACACAAGTTACTCTACAGTGATGGGTATGGACAAATCAATTCAGTTTATGTTGTCAACTACTATAGGTTAAGACATTCAAGCAAGGTATACATACATCTTCACAGGTGGGCGCGATATGATCACAAGCACCTGTAAATCTTCATGTTCATCAGAATTCCAAACCTGCAATCAAAAGGGGCATGGTGTAAGCACTAGCATGCAAATGGATTCCCATGCATAATCTTAAAATCTAGCGATGGTTTCATGACTACGAGTGTGCTGAATAATGATGGCAGCCATCCATCATCTTTACCTGGTGTGGATCATTTACAGGAACCGTGAATGTGCTATTCTGAAAGACAGGAATTTCCTGAGGCGTTCCCGGGTACGGCAGTGAGGTCGACCCCAGCAAGAGAGTGCCTCTCCCTTTGAGGACAACAAAGACCTCCTCACACGAGTGTCTGTGGATCGGTGTCCTCTGGCCCGCACTAATTGTTTGGAGCCACACCTCCACCTAGAGGAAAGCATTTCACATAATAAGCAAGAAAGAACAGCTCCATCTAGATGGACACATTGTCCAATATAGATGAACCAAAGAAACCATATCTATACATGAGGTACATCCAAGTAAAGGTTTGCGTAACTTCATAGACCAAGGAATGGAAAAGCAAGGTACAGTTTGGTTCCTGGATTGATTGCTCACCTCCTTCATGCCGTGAGCTAGCGCGCCCGCAACGGTTATATGCGAGAATCCTCCAATTCCATAGTTGCTCTGGTGCATTTTGTTTATATCTTTCACGACTGAATTGTCTGGATACAACGGTAGATACAGTTAGCACTTGGTAGAACTGAGATCAATTTGGCTGCATACACTAGATACAGTTAGTTAGCACTTGCTGGAACAGAGATTAGCTTGGGTGGGCACACTAGATGACTAGAACTCGATACATTTAGATCTGGAGTTGAATTGGCTACAACTGAACTGTCTATTATCCATTACTCCTGTACTTAACTAAGGCACTTAGATCTGGAGTTGAATTGGCTCGAACTGACTGAAATCTCATTGCTATATAAAATTCACCGGTAACCTTCAAAATCACTGGGAACTTAGATCAGTGTGTAAATTTTAAACATGATCTTAGCTAGTAAATGTGAAGTGTTGATCGAGAACGGAAGTTCCAAGAACTGCAGAAGTAAACTGAAAGGGGGAGAGGAGACCTCGGGGGCAGGAAGGCTCGGCTACTGGGAGTAAGGCGGCCGCGGCGGCGAGGAGCAGCGCGAGGAGGAGGGCGCCGCGGCGGCCGGCGCCGGCGAAGCGGGGCCCGCGGACGGATGCAGCTGTTGTGTGTCCACTCGCCATCTTTCTAGCGCTTTCTTTTTCACGTGTGTCTGTCTTCGGTTTTCCGCACCTTGTCGACAAATTCTGAATTAATAGTGTTGCAGACATGTGATCTTGGTACTAATATAATACTACAGTGTACTAGTACTAGCCCTACTCTGAGAAATGGCTACAGTGCATAAACATGTCAGACATGCATATTGCATTTTTTATAGGTCCGCATCTGGATAAGGATAAGTGGATATGGATTTGGATATGGGTCAGACATGCATGTTGATATTTTTACAGTAAAGAAGCCCGTTTGAGTACATGTGGATTTTTACAGTGTGTAATAAAAATCTATTATTATTGTAGTAGGGTACCAATATACATGAACAGACGTTGACACTCGATGAACAATTATCGGTCGATGAATGCAATCTAGTGTAAGTTATCTCGTTCACACAAGAATAAATAGACCTACGCAACAACACACAAGTTTGCCGACATCCGCCGGTGCGGCTATTTAAGTCGGTCGGCGTCCGCCTCGCGTGGTGATGTGGGACTAAATTTTGGGTGCATCGATGAAAGAAGGAGGAGCTTTTGTCGCTGCATGTGGGACCGCTACGACCTGCAGCAAGGTCGGCGGACGCGCATCCGCTTCATATTTGGGTTGGATATGAGGGGTGCCAGTCAGTCCGGGCGTTTAAGGCCCGTTTAAGGAGCCCGTCTGAGTCGAAATTTCATGACCGGCAGTGACCGGGCGGCTTGCTCGGGCGTTTGAGGCGGCTTTGGGGTGGCCGGCTGTAGATGCTCTCAGAGCATCTCAACGTTCCCTGCAAAATATCCCGTAAACTATTTTTGTGGGATGTTCATAAAAATTATGAAAAAACTTAATAGGTGAGGTGTTCTCTCAGTTCTCATAAAACATCTCTCCCAAAAATCGTTTTTTCTAGTTTTCATTAAACAACCATACAAATGCACATGCATGCATATACTATTCATCATAATAATTCAAATAATATTATTTTTGACACACATACTTGATACTCATTTCAAATACATGATTTTGAAAATTTGATTTGAAATTCAAATTCAAATTGAAACATAGTAAATGGTTTAAAGTAGACATAACAAATGGTTCACCTAAACAAGGACATCAGCACATAAAGCCTAAATAGATAGATCAATTATAGAACATCACTGATGACTTTCATCAACATTATTAGTCCCAGAATTGTGGTCATTCACGCTGCCATGATGCTAGAAAAGAAAATTACGAGGAAAAGGGGAGTTTCATTCCAATGTAATAGGGTTTACAATCCAGAGGCAACAATTCCTCAACACATTGAGGACCTTTGTTCATCCAAACAGCCATGCAAAACTTGTATGATTGTAAACAACAAATCGAATTGCTACCTTGTTTTGTTCTCTTCTAATTTTCAATGGAACAAACTCCCTCCCTTTGATAAGGGCCTTAATCTCAGCAGCTAAATGACCATACGCCAACCGGAAAAGAGTACCATCGGTTGGTAGATAGAGCTTCAATAAGAATCAGATTGAATGAGGATCAGCAAGTCCATTGTTGTATGGGCAGTGCCATACCTTGCATCTAATATCTGAGTCATGAGTTTAACAAACATCTAAGTGATTGTGACATTATCTCACAACTTACTCCTCCTGGAACTCTACAGAGAAATGCAGTATCAGAAAGGTGTAACCGTACCTTGCTAGACATGGTGAGGTCAATGATGTCGTTTACCGATCTGTTGTTATCATTCTGGGGATATGCACTTGAAACAACAACATAAACACTAAACAGAGCACCGTCTAAGTCTGTTGAGACGAAACCATATGAGTTATGGAATAGGAAGAAACCCAATCTGTCGCATCTCAAGATTTGGGGTTGCGAGACTTATGTAAAACGTTTACAGCCAAATAAGCTCAATCCCAAGGTAGACAAATGTTATTTTGTAGGTTATCCCAAAGAAACAATAGGGTATTCCTTCTACCAAAAGTAGGAAGACAAAGTGTTTGCCGCTAAGAATGGACACTTTCTAGAGAAGGAGTTTCTCGCTAAAGAAGTAAGTGGGAGGACAGTACAACTTGATGAGATTACTGAATCTTCAGAAGTGATCAGGACTAACAAAATGGAATTTGTTCCAGAAGTTATCCACGCAATTGAATCAGAAGTTACTACTCCCGTTGTAGTAACTCCGGTTAAAACTGTAACTGAACCGCGCAGGCCAGGAAGAGTTATCAAACCTCCTGAATGGTTTCATAATGAAGTATTCATCTTAGAAGAAGATGAACCCGCACACTACAGAGAAGCGATGGCGGCGTTGTAACACCCCCAGTGTCAAGCTACAGTAATCTGCCTCTAATGGTGCCATGTCATGACCTTTTCACTAACCCATTTGTCACTTGATCAAAATTCAAATCAAACTCAAATTTAAAATAAAGTAAAAACAATATTTATTAAAACAACAAGATAAAAATGTTCATTGTACTTAAAATAATCAAAGAGTAATTTTCATGGTTAAATAAACTTTTTATAAAGTCTTTAAGTGACCTAAAATAATTAAAACATAAGCCAAATATTTATTAATTTTCAAAATTATAGAAATTTTCAAAACTATTTTGTTTGCCCCCAAACTTTTTCTGGGAGTGCTATCTATTGAAATGTAACTTGTGGGACTAGTTACATGTTTTACAAAAGCCAATTAGTGGCTAAAGACAATACAAAACTTAAAAGAAAAAGAAAATAGTAAAAATAAAATAAAAGGCCTCTACCCCTGGGCCTTAGGCCGCAGGGACAGGCCCGGACCGGCTCGGCCCAGCCTGCCTCCCCCCGTCGTCCTATACCTCCCTCCTCCACCTGTCGAGGGCGACCGAGGCAGAGCTCGTCCCCGCCGCGCCAGCTCGCTACCCGGGTTGCTACAGGCGCCGCAGGGCAGATAAGGCCGCCCCCTTCTCCCCCACAAACCCTAGACCCCCCATCCCTCTCCCTCGTCTCGCCCCCTTCCTTTTTCTTCGAAGCCACCACAGCTGTCGCCGCGCCATGGCCGTGCACACGCTCCGAGACCATCCCGCGTGGCAGTGGATGTCCAGGAGGGTGGTCGTGGTCTTCTTCATCGCCTGCAACTCCAGATCAAGCCGGAGCTTTCCCCAGCCTGTCGCCCCGCTCGTCTTCCCCACCTTCGGCCATCGGAGGCCGTCGCCGATTCACCGTCCACAACGCCTCCCCGACCTCACCGACGACTGCTACGGATGCGCCGTGAGCCCCCGCCCCCGCGAAAATCCCCTTGTTCCCGTCTCGTTCCATCACTGTATGTCGTCGCCCCTCGAGCCCCGACCGCCATGACCGAAGCATGGCGCCGCACTGTTGGTTGCGTCACTCCGGTGACCTGTTGGCCACACACGTGCGCCCGTCGTCTCCGCCGTGCTGCCTGGGTGCCTCTAGCCCCCTGTTCTCCGTGTGCGCGCCCGTGGCTTCGACTCCGTCGAGCCCGAGCCACGGCCTCCACCTAGGCTCGCCGCCGACGTGACTCCCTGCTACCTCCGGTCGTGCAACAGCCACCACCCGACGTGGCTCACCGCCCTCGACCCAACGCGCCCTTCTGCGCGTCAAACGAAGGCCGGGGGCCGAATCCCGCCCCATTCCGGCGAAGAACCACCGCGGGACAGGTCGCCGAAGGCTCTCCGGCGGCGCCCTCCGACGTGGCCTGCCGTTGGGGCCCACCTGGGTAACTGCCAATGGGCCCCTGGCCCTAGTTGACCGCGTTAACCCGGTCAACTATGCTGACTGTGCCCCCCCTGCCGCTGACATGTGTGCCACAACATAGCTAATTAGTGTTAATTAGAATTAACCTAGCCTGTTCACTAGCTCTCCCACTGACACGCTGGGTCTACCGCTAACTAATCTCTGTTTAGTTTAAATAAGTTCTGGTTAGTTCTATCTCACTGACACGCGGGCCCAGCCCACTGTTCCAGTGGATAAGGCTGTCTAGTCAGCCTGCTGACTGGGCAGCTGGCCCACGAGTCAGCCTCTGCTGACTGCGCAGTTGACTTAGTCAACTATCCCACCTGTCTAACTCATGTGCACACTTCTGGGTACACTTTTGTGTATCCATAGCATTTAGTTATTTATTTATTTTTAAAATTAATTTAAATAGTAATAATTTCGAAAAATGATTAAATCTTTAAAAAATCATAAAAAATAAACCGTAAGTCAGATAAAAATAATTTATATATGAAAATTGCTCAGAAAAATCCATGGAATCCGAATATGCAATCCGTTCATCTGTCACACCTCTCTAACATTGCAAATATGGAACCGTTCCCCTCTTTTCATTTGTCCGGAAAATACCGAATACCGAGAAAACCCCTCCGGATGTTTTCCCTCTTCGTCTGCAACACGTAGTACCGCGTTAGATCACCCCTAGCTCTGCATATTGTCATGTCATGCTTAGTGATGCATCTGTTTGCATTATATTTACTATTTCCCCCTCTTCTCTCAAGTAGACCCCGAGACCGATATTGCCCCTGTGATCGACTACGTCACCGGTGACCCTTCTTCCTTTTCAGCAGAGCTTCCACGCAAGAAACCCCCCCTTGATCATTCCGATATCGCCCATTTCTTGCCCTCTCATGCTTGCATTAGAACTGCTACTGCTCTTGTATGATCCTATTCTAATGCATAACCTGATTTTGTAACCTGCAATTGTTACCTTACCTGCTTATCCTAACTGCTTAGTATATATTGGTTAGTGATCCACCAATGACGCCTCACCTAGTCCCAGTTGCCCCCACGTGATGATCGATGACTCGATCAACGTCCAGAGCCCGACACAGCACATCAGCCCCATGTAGTTGTACGACACTACATGGATACTATCGAGTGCCGAGGTTGATACCTTGTGTAACACTTATGATGTTAACTTTGTAGTGTAGCTAATTGGTCGTGGTCTTAGAGGGTGATTCCTCCAAGTCCACCTATGGTTACATCGAGTGGGAATCCATCGAGGGTGATTCCTTGGGTTTCCCCCCTTGCTGTTTTGGACACATGATTACTTTGACCTTACCACAGAACCATGATGAAGTCGGGTCAGCTCCGTGGGGTACCCGCG